TGCTCGCAGCGGATGAAGCCTCGCGGCGTCAGTCCTGGCCCGCAGTCACCCTTCAACAGGCGGGGAGCGTGGCCCTTTGCCCCCCGGGTGACTCAACCTTGGGCTGTGTTTGTGAGGGCCTGTGTCTGAGGGCATGCGTGTCATTTCCTTCGTTGCACATTTACCCGATGTCATATTAAGGCGTGAGCGTGTTACGCCACGCAGGCTGAGCTGAGGCAGCAGCTATACCTGCCGGTAGCTGATAGCAGAGCTCCTAGCCTGAGGTGAGGTAGTTACCGGCAGGCCGTGTGGAAGAGTAAGTCTTGCGAGCAAGAGGAGTTGCAGCTGGAGGCCAGCCACGGTTGCCAGCTGGAACTGCTGTGGGTGGGTGGATGGATGGGTGGATGGGTGGATGGATGGATGGGTGGGTGGGTAGGTAGGTAGGTAGGTAGGTGGAGAGAGAGCAGGGTGGGCAAGGTGTTTCTCCCAGGAATTCTGGAGACCCCTCACCTGTGTACTGCTAGCACCAGCTGGGGTCTTTGAGGACAGGCACCGCTTCCTTTCGCTTCTTCTTGGGTTTTGTTTCTTTTGTAAGCCCTCCTCCCTAAAATACTTGAGTCGTTCTATGGGTTTCTTCTGTTGGAAATCAAATAGCATAGATGAGGCTGAATTGTTCAGAGAAATTGAAGCACTAGAGAAATATTGTTAGAAAATTTGTTAGAAATATTGTTAGAAATACCTAACCCTGCAGGCAGCCCAAGGCAGCTGTTGTTCTTGTTTCAGATTACCAGCTTTCTGAGAAAGGTGCCGGGCGAATTTGTATCTTACGTTCTTTTTGTCCTGGGCTCGTACAGAATTTACCTCACTCCCTACATCAGGTTCCTGTACTCTGCCTCAGTAAGAGAATTGGTGGTCTCTACTGCAGCTGCAGTGCTCATGCTTTCGTAACGTCCAAGTGGCCCCAAGTGGCATTACCACTGCTGTAGAAATCACATTTCTGACAACAACTGATTCCTTCAGTTACTCCGTTACAGCTTGCAGGATTTCTCATTAAAGCGTTTGTTCAACAAAGCCAGGCAAAAGAAATCGTTAAGAGAAAAAGCTTTTTAAGCCCAAAGAGGGAGAAGTGAACGCAAAAGGTATGGAAGCTTCACATGTATAGAAATGGGGTTCATACTGTGGAACCCAAGGCTTTCATTTGGGACAGGAATGAACTTGTATGTTAATACTTGAGCTCTGGTATGTGTAGGTGTGGCTGTGAAAGCAGCAGGGAGGAGGCAGATTTCCATGGCTTTGAGCGAGCTGTAGATTCATTTTATTTTTTTATATATAAACCCTGCCTTGCAAGACACCTGAAACAGAAAAACTGAATTTTTTGGCTACTTGTGAAATCAAGAAGAGGTAAAAAAAACCCCCACTGCTCTTTTAACAGCTCTATGGTGTTTTAAGTGTACGGGGTGGGGGAGGTGGGGAATATGAGATGTGTATATTGAGATAAAACACAGTATTTTTGGTCTACTTCCTAAGACAGTTTTGGATTATTAGAATGCGGGAACCTTCTTCCTTTGGGAGTATTTCTCAACAACTGAAGTATAGAGTTAGCATTTAAGTCATAAGGGTTTCATTGGAGAGAGGCAGAGAATTTGTTTTCTTTTCTACTACAGAAAATGCATCCTGAAGATTCAGTGGGGAAATTCTGGAAAGCTAGCATCATTGTGGCTAGTGTGAGTTTTTTAGAACTTTACGCATTTGTTTTTCTTGTTTGCTTGTTGGTACAACTTGAAGTCCTCGGGTGTTTCCAGTCCTCAGACGTGTGTGTGTGCTTTAAATGTGCTGTTGTTAAGTTACCTTGAAAAGGAATTAATCAGAATCCTTTTTGCTACAGAATAAATAAGTTTTGTTTGGCAGGATTAGGAGAACATTACAACATGTGTGGCTGCTCCCAAAGCAAGTCACAAAGTTAACTGAGCAGAGATTGAACCCGATGCCTGTGTGCTAGGAGAGTGCTCTGATCAGGGTTCAGATCAAATGCAAAGTTCAAAGATGATGCGGGATGTAGGACGTGTGGTTTGGCCAGACTAACAGAAGAAAAAGAGAGCATGTGCCATCTGATGTTCGTTTCTTTAGTGGGCAAAGCAAATGCAGTGTTGCCCCTACCGCTCTCCAAGCTGTTTGGTGCTTGGCTTCGCTGCATGTCTCAGAAGATGCATTTTAGTGCCTTGCCTTGTTCTCAGGAACCCTGACTGAGCTGCTGTCTGGTTGGGCCTGTGGTGGTTCTGTATGAAATCAAGTCTTCTGAAAACTAGAGCATCAGTAACTGACGTGACTATAGTGATCTTCATTCTAGTTGTACGCTGTCTGTATGAATAATTTCATATTGATATTGCACTACAAAGCCTTAGGGTGTGATTTCTTGGTTGTGCCATTTACAGAAAAAGCATGTCTATTCAGTACTTTGCAGTGTGACTCTTAACTATCAGCATACATATACTTTATGGTTGTAAGGTCCCAGACCCGGGTCCGAAGAGGACTGGCCAGATCCTGCACTCCTCAGTTTTTTCTACAAACCAGCAAACATTTTTCTCAACACACTACAGCCAGGAGATCCAAAGCTAAGACTTGTGCTGAACATAAAAACTTTCAAATAACCTGTTATAATTCTGTGTTTCGGTATGGCGTTACGGGTTACAGCTAGAAGGTGCGAGGCAGCCTGCGCTGTCCAGGCTGCACTCCTTGATGCAGCCCCAAAGGCATCGCAGAGGTACTGTTGGGACCATGTTACTCTCAAGAGCATCGCTGCCAAACTGCACAGGAGGTCTATAAAACATGGCAGATCACTCACTAAGGGAAACTTAGCACCGATGGCAGTTTCTGAAATTCAAACATCAAGCACAATGTACTGTATAAATCAAGTTGGAAGTGATGGACAAACGAGCAAAAAATCCAATAGAACATGATGTACAATGCTTGACAAGGCAAGGAGGAGAAGGCGGCAAACACTGGCAATTGTTGTTAACATGGAATAAAAATATATATCGTGTTTGTTTCACTCTTCTATCATCTCTGTCTCAGGTTTAATATTTTGGTGCCCCTCTGTTGGTTTTTTTTTCCCTAACAGAAAAGTGAGAATACATAAAATAATCACACTAGCTTTACAAAAGAAATAACCTGCAAAAATCCTTGAGATGCAAGATTCACATCCACCACAAATACAGTGACATGCACCAGTCAAAATTATTTGTTAGTATTAAAAGAACTGGCTAGCAAGCTTGGTTAAACCTGTGCCCTTTGTAAGTCAGGAATGGTACCTATAGCTGTCCTTTGGGGAGAGGAAGAGGACTAGGGGAAGCTCTTTAGACTCTTTTCAAGCTGTTTGATTCATGAGGTAATTTCTCTACTGCGGTACGCTGTATTTTAGAATAGTGTGCCTGGGTAGAGGAATAGCGTGGGCTATCAGTTATAAGATGATGATTTTTTTTGTTGTTGTTGTGCACAAGAGCTTCCAGTTCATCGTTATTTAACAGACAAACCAGAAGATACGATGGGGGAACCTCCTTCTTTGCATTACTACCCTAGACATCCATACACATATATTTGGAAGTTCAGCTGATGCCCTTTTGGTCTGGTGAGGAGTAAAGTGTGAAAAGTTCTTTATATTTGCAGTATTTACAAACGCAGGCAAATTTCCCACCTCCAAAAGTCAAATGTTGCAGTAATCAGAAATATATTTTAGGAAGTAGAAAAATCTGGCTTGACAAGTGACATCTTACAACCTTTTGGAAATTGTACTTGACCATTTTTCCTTGGTGTCTTGTTCATGAATGATGAAGATTAATGCTCCCTAGCCCTGTAAGAACACTGAAGGTGAACACTTCCTATTTGTTAAAACTAAAAGAATATCAATCTGCAAAGGATTACATGGTAATGAGAGGGCCTCAACCATTCTGAAACGTATAGTACTACATAATGGCCTTAAGGCCAAAAATTTGGGCCAAGACTGTTGCAAACAAAAAACATGATACAAAGGGCTATAATCCGTAATAAGCTGTACAAAGGAAATTATATAATTAGGATATGTCTTTTACCTGCACTTAAACAAGTTTTCTCCCCTCTTTTTATGTTCTCAGTTTGCCGTGAGTCTGCTGTGAACCAAAGAAGACATGAAGGGACAGAAAATACCATCTTTTCTCATCTCCTTATTTCACATAAGTGCTATGCTTTGGGGTAGGTTTTAGCTCTATTGTTTATGAAAAACAATAAAGATGACAATTATTACTCGTTTTTTAACAGGGGGAGTTAATTAATTCAAACACTGTTTATTAATGGTAAAGAAGCTGTTTGGGGTAATGTAAGACATTGCCGAAGCGAAAGATGGCTGCACAGATGGCCATGGCCATCGAGCATGTTGAGCACCCACACTGGTACCTGCCCACGTTTCTGCGCCATGGCTTGGCTGGTGGAGCATGTCGTGTGCCTGCTCAGCAGGCAGTAGTTGTCAGTTCGTACTGAGAATGGTTTTAAGCACCTTGGTTGACTTTGCGCTGAGATGGCTGAGGAAAAGTCATCTGGATTGCCCTGCCGGCTGAGCTGGAGAGGGCATCAAAATTTCTTGGAAGACGGCTGCAGCAGGGCACTCGCTACCGGCCTAACGGGTTGTCTGACCTTGCCAAGCAGGTCCATATGGCAATGCTAAGTTAATGGAGTAAGTTTTTAAGAAGACTAATTTAAAATTGTTCTTTTATGCCAGTAAGGCCTAAATTAAATGTTAAAAGCAACCAGATGCTACCACTTGTGAGAATTAATTTTGAGGAATCCACACCTTAATTATCTCTGGGACAGAGCTTCCTGACACTATCTGTGGCGGTGAAACTGTTTCAAGAAGTCCTGTCTTTCCTGCTGGTTACACTGTCATGTCCTTTCTTTTTTTTTTCTGTGATGGTGCAACTGCTTGGCGCTTCGTGAAGTAATTAGTAACCCAGGTCATTGCAACACGGCACTATGAACATTTGTTGTATGAAATAGCAAGCTGCAGCTCAAAAGGTTTTGAGGTTGAAGGTGGTGCTTTTGGAAATGCATTCGAAGCTCGGGTGGTGGTGCGCTGATTTGAATAGGCAGGCGCTCACTGAGGATATCTACTTAAAGTGATTATAAGTTCAAAGACCAGAGCTCTGTGTTATAATATTGATTAAACTGAATGGAGACCCTTGCTGTCCCAGAGACTCACGTCACAGAAAAGCTGTGAAAGAGCTGTTGGCACGCTCAGTAGAAATGTGCTGCAGAGCATTTTTTTGTCAGGGATAAGGAGGGGCAGAAATATGCTTGTAGACTAGATTTAACTTATTCATTTTCACTTAATGGGCTTTAGGTTTTACAGCACAGGAAACAGTAACAGGGCTGTTTTCTAAGGATTGCATCCTCCCTTGTCCTTTCTCACCTGGGAATGATGAAGTGATTTACTGGAAGAAAGGAGGCAAAAATGTGCACAGCTACTACTACCAGAGCGATCAGCTGGCAGAACAAGACCCGGATTACAGACACAGAACACACCTTTTCCATGAGAACATTCCTAGTGGAAACGCCTCCTTGAAGCTTAGTAACTTGACCTTGACTGATGAGGGCTCCTATTCCTGCTATGTGGGAACACAGCAAGATAGCACAAAAGTGGAAGTCACTCTGCGCATAAAAGGTCAGTAAGACATCAAAACGGCTTGGCTTACACCAGTGGAAATGGGATTACACCAACAGATTTTCTCATGTAATTTCTCACATGGAATCATAATCCTCCAACCCAACAGAGCACCTTTTGGGCCTGATGGCAATTCATTGCCTGATGGCAATTCAGGTAATTCATTTTCCGCGGTGAAATGCTGTAACATGAGTTGAAAAATTTCAGTGCAGCAATTGTTCTCATAACCTACTGCACCGTGATTTCTAAAGGGTAACTAGGTAGTATGTTGAGTTTTAAAACATTATGTGGCTCCTCAGAACAGTATAGACCCTGGCATTGACAGTAAGTAGTGCTATGCTTTCTTCAGAAATCAAAGATTAAATTTTGTTCTCAGTTACCTTTACTCTCTCCAATGTTTTTTCAAAAGACTAGTCACTTCAAGTTAAAAATTATTTTGAAGGTTGTAGGACTTTTTAAATTTTTTTTTTTAATCTACAGTTCCCTCTTATTATGCATTGGAATACCAAAAGACAGACACAAAAAGGACGCTGAAGTGCTATGCCTTTTTCACTTACCCAGCACCACGTATATCTTGGGTACGAGGCAATACATCCATCCAAGAAACAGGTCATCATGAAACCAGGGATGGAGTTCTCTATTCTCTTAGAAGTGACCAGAACATTATAAACACAACTGATCCTTACTACTGTTCTATTCGTCTCCCTCATGAAGAGTGGACTGCTGAGTGGAAGATGCAAGGTAGGAACGAATGGAAGTCTCTTCCTGCATCGTTACTGAATGGCACAGCTAGTTTCAGAGCCAAATTAAATCCAGTATTTCTGCAGTGGGGCAACACAGATATGGGATGGTGCAAAAAGAAGCACCTTCCTCTTTGAAACTCATCTGTTACAAGGCAGCATCTGTCCAAGCAGCAGGGATAAGAGGTGGTAGCTCACACTTGTGTAAGTTAGCTTTACTCTGGACATTTTTTCCATATCAGTTTCATGTTTCAAGAGGTGCATACTAATCAAACTTTGCACTCTTACCAGGAAAAGAATGAACTCAGACAAAATACATGGAAACCTTAATGAAGCTGTGGGTTATATATGAGGGAGGGGAAGGTTTGCCTGCTGCTCTAGGGGCATACGTCCCTTACTCGGTCCATTCCCCATCTTTTGTGAGAGTTTTTTCAGTACTGTTTGATGCTTTCATTGTACTTCTCTTTGAGTGCATTCTTAAGCGAAGGTTGAGAGCTGGGGGTGTGTGGGAGTGGAGAGCAGCAAGCTTGCATTTGAGCCAACAGCAGCTCATTTTGTTAGTTAAGGAAACACAGGGCTGTGACATTTCAACGCTCTGTTTTGTCCTCCTCCTGAATTTCAGTAGAAATTCAGTTCAAGTGAATAACTGGTACTTTTCAACCTCTCCTGTCTCTTAGGAAATATTTTTTAATTTGATCAAGAGCAATGTAAGAGCAATTCCCTTGTGAGATGTGCATGGCCACTGCCCTGGATTTCCCCCTAAAGTGTGCCCAGACACTCTCACTTACTAATCCACTGCATATGATTCAGAACAAGAGTGCAGTTTCTAATTTACATACAATAGATTACAATACAGAAGGTTTCAATTATGGCTTCAAAGCAGGTAACAAATGCACTGTAAGTGTCTATGTTGTTAATCTATCTTTCTGATCCACAGGAGAAGGTGGTACCTTTCACTACACTTTTGTTTACATCAGTCTACCTTCTCCCTGTAACATTTTGAAAATATACTGCTTTCCTTTTCCTTATATAATAGCAGCATGGGGTACAAGTTTGTTTTCTTTTGTCCTCATGGTTTTCAGCCCCACACCTCTGTTCATTCAGCCCCACAAACAGAAACCAAGTGTGGTTATACCACATCAAAATAACCTATTAGTTTCCCCTCCATCAGACTGCCAGCCACCACAGCCTCCTCTGGTTTTCCTTCCTTTGGAGCAAATCCCTGCTGTCAAATTGATAGTTGTGCTATGATATTAATTTGTCTTACGTTAGTATTTTATACATTAGCTATTAGTTCCACTTACCTGCTCTTTCCTTCCCCTTCCTTTTTTTTAAAGCTAGTCATTAATTGTAAGTGTTCCACACAGACAGGTAAAATACTTAAATCCACCATAGCTGAAAGTTGTTACTAACTATATAAATCTTTTTGTTAATTTAATTAAATTATGTTGTAACGCTTTACCCTTTTGCTTTAAATGTGCAGGTATCTGATTAGTTGCATTTTCTCTCTGCTCCCAGCGTGGAATTTCATGCTACTTTACACAGTAACTTAGACTAGGCTGAATCCCTTTTATTAATGAGCCCCCCAATTAGAGGAGAAATAGGCAAATGAAAACCAAATAATTTTCATAAGTATAGCTAATACCAATTAGATAGTTTTATTTCTTTAAGGAAAGACATGTTTGCTTTTAAAATCTTCAGATGCTTCTAAAGCATACTGTGATATTTGAATATGATATCAGAACAGTGAAATATCACAGAATCACAGAATGGCAAGGGTTGGAAGGGACCTCGGGAGATCATCCAGTCCAACCCCCCTGCTAAAGCAGGTTCACCCAGAGCAGGTTGCACAGGACACCATCCAGGCAGGCTTTGAATATCTCCAGAGAAGGAGACTCCACAACCCCCTGGGCAGCCTGTTCCAGTGCTCCGTCACCCTCGAAGTAAAGAAGTTCTTCCTCATATTCAACTGAAACCTCTTATGTTTCACTTTGTGCCCATTGCCCCTTGTCCTGTCGCTGGGCACCACTGAGAAGAGTCTGGCTCCATCCTCGTGACATCCACCCTTAAGATATTTGTATGTGTTGATGAGGTTCCCTCTCAGTCTTCTCTTCTTCAGGCTGAACAAGCCCAACTCTCTCAGCCTTTCCTCACAGGGGAGATGCTCCAGTCCCTTAATCATCCTTTTTGCTCCCCTCTGAACTCGCTCTAGGAGTTCCTCATCTTTCTTGAACCGGGGAGCCCAGAACTGGACACAGTACTCCAGGTGGGGTCTCACCAGGGCAGAGTAGAGGGGGAGGATAACCTCCCTCGCCCTGCTGGCCACACTCCTCTTAATGCACCCCAGGATGCCATTGGCCTTCTTGGCAACAAGGGCACACTGCTGGCTCATGGTCAGCTTGTCATCCACCAGGACTCCCAGGCCCCTCTTGGCAGAGCTGCTTGCCAGCAGGTCATCCCCCAGCCACAGCAGTATCAGACTTCAGAAAAAAAAAAAAAAAATCAGAAAATATCTAAATAGCCATCACAGTATTTAAAAAAAAAAAATTGCAGAGGGTTCTTCAATTATCTGTTTCAGACCAACTGTCTAAAGCGGAAGGAAGCAACACTACAATTCCTTGTGAATATAGCAGTAACACTTCAAACACTGAAGGTTTCAGTGCTGTATGGACATTAAACAGAAATGCAGTGATCTCAGTCCTGGCCTCCTTCAATGGTACATCTCACTCTTACCAGCCTCGAGCCCACATTAACCAAAATCACTTTTCACTGATGCTGCATGACCTTACTGCAAGTGACAGTGGAGAATATCTGTGTAATATTTCAACACCTCACTACACAAAACTTACAGTGAGAACTTTGCAAGTTGGTAAGTTGCCGCTCTTTCTGTTTTGGAGGATGGGGACCAGCAAGGGGAATGCAGAGCCAAAAGGCTCAGAAATCTGTAAAATATTGAGAAAAATCATCTTGTGTAATAAGTACAGGTGGGTAGAAGAGATTTTATTATTGCTGTCCAAGAA